CAAACCTGTGTGGATAGCGAATCCGCGGATAACGAGATCATAAATCAATGTAAAAAGGGAAGTTTTGTTTAATTTTTTTTAATTTTAATAATTTTTTAATTCCTACAACTAATTTATTTATTATCTATCGTATTGTTCCTTAATTTTTACGTATTTCTCGAACACTAGGTTCATTCATTTTGTACGTTCTAGCAAATGACGCTACAGTATCACCATTTTTTAATTTGTCCAAAATTTCAATTTTTTGAACGAGTAATAAAACATTTTTTCTCCTTTTTATTGACATTTTACATTTAGAAGCCATTTAAAAATATTTTCACAACTAAATTTATTGAACACTGCTGTACACGTGTCATGCACAAATATCATCTCACAACTGAACAATTGACGATTATTAATCGTGCAGGTGTAGGTAACCTTTTGTGTTTTATTTGCAATAAGTATAAGTATGTATATAAGTATTTTATTTTATTATATTATTTTATTTTGTTATTTTATTTTATTGTACCTACCATACCTATGTAAAAAGCCGTTCGGCGTTAAATTCAATAATAAATAATAAATAATAAATAAATAAATAATGTATATGTGTTATACCTATAGCGATATAACAACAATTATCTATAGTTATTGTCAAAAATAAATTTCTACAGTGTTCGTATAATAACGGTAAAACGTTATGGCAATCGCATTAAAAATATGTTATCGTGGATCCAACCGCGGATAATGAGGGATTACTGTAATTAATAATTTATATTGAGTGTTACAATATGAATTATACAAGTTTATTATTTCAAATACTTAAGTATACGTGAAAATAAATAGTATATGACTTATAAATTACATGTACAAGCATTTTATGTTAGAACTAATAAATTATTGAAAATGAATACTTTTTTTAAAACTATTGTTCTGTTATACATTATAAAAAATTTTAAGAAAACATTAAATGTTTATTTATAAATTTTGTTATAGGATTTTTTGGAGTAACCCATAAATACTAGTTGTAATATTATTACTTTGTACGTAGGATAGTTTCATAGTTACGTCTTTTATAAACAAAATAAAGTTATTTTATTTATGTTTTGTAAATCTCAGTCATTAAAAATAAAAGTCTTCGTCCAATAAGTGTTTAGACAGTCGTATTATAACTGAATAAAGTAAATAATCGATGACTCATAAAGAGTTCGTTTACATTTTATTTTATTCGATGTGATCTTTATTTACGTAATCTTTTGGAATATTTGAATGGTTTATTTTAATAGCCAATCAATTATTTACGGAATGGGTTAGTGATAAGTTAAGTTCATCGGAAAACGATTTTTATGCGATCTTTCCAGATTTCTCTGAAAAATTAACTTATTTAAACTTTTTTAATGTTATTTAAAAGTATATGCAATACTCTACTTGAAAATATACATGCTCAAGTAAATGTAAAGTTTTTCACAGTGAAATATTATTCAAATAACATGATGTTAACGACAGTGTATTATTTTTATCGGCTTAAATAGCTATAAAAGTTGTACAAAATCTACGACATAGGTTTTACAGATTATTACATTGTTTTAAACTCTAGCTAATTTTTACTTTTTAAATTTAATTCTTTACTATGTCGAATGCTAATTTAATTTTTAGACAATTTCGTAATCATCGTGTTATATTCCATGCATATTTCATTGTAACTCACATTATAACGATCTAATTTCAACGTTCCATTGTTGTAACTGCGGTGAAAAATAGTCTGTAAACTGTACGATTGGCCAATCGATAAATAAGGTACCTATCGTATACGGATTACTTATAATAAACTAGCTGACCCGTCAAACATTGTTTTGTCTTATAAATTATTTTTAGAGAATATTTTGCTAGAAAAAAAACTAATTTAATATAGGTGGGTAAGGATGTGTATTAAGTGTGTATTTATTGTGTATATAAGTGGAAGAGGTATGAAGTGCTGTGAACGATGACGGAATATAAAAATGAAAAAACATCAAACATTTATTTTTTTAATAATTTATTAAAATTGATCCTTTAAAATAATATATATGGTATATTGCTAATTATGACAATACTAGTAAAAAACAATATCAATCCTTTAATGCAACAGAGTGTACAATATTTTTTGCTATCCCATCTTTCGCCAACACAAACAAACTGGATGGTTCGAGAGCACGCCACGTATAATTGTCCGTGTGAAAAACATGATATGCTCAAATCTAAGCCACAGACAGACATCGTTTAGCCTTGAGACTTAATGATAGTCATTGCAAATGTAAATCTAATTAGAAATTGAAGATGTTTAAATTGTATTGGCACATCTGTGGGTATAATAGGGATTCGCGTTAATAATATATTTTTACCTCGAAATTTGCCATTTAAAATGATGGATTCGATAACATTTTTATTAATTTTTTAATGATTAATCACGTGCCGTTGCATAACCGTGGAGGGTTCAAATAGCGAAGCAAAATAACTGGAGATCCAACCTTTAGATGTAAATTATGCGATAGTATGCCTAGTAAATCCAATAAGTTTAAATGAGTTTCTGTTGGATAATTTACAGCTTAAGTAGCATTGCAAACTGTATCAATAGATTTTTATGACACCAAGTTTCATGGTAACAAATGTTGTACCTTGAGATTCAATTCGTTCACGTTCACATTTTTTGCTGCTAAAATTACTGTTTCTGCCAGCCACTCATGATTTTTTGTGTTGTCTGTGTACATATAGATAAATATGTATATGATATATATCATACATCATATAGATATATATACTTTTTCCAAAATCAACAAGGCAGATTAGAGCAAAATGGAGCCAAAAATGTATAATATTTCATCAATTTTTTTTAATTGTTTGTAATTGCCAGGAGAAGGTTTTTACGAAAAAAATGTTTGGAAAATTGCTATTGTTTGATAAATCGTAGTTTAATTTAATAATTTTTGACCCGGTCGATAACTGCGCAATTGAAAATTAATTACTAAATAAAACTATTAAAAAAAAAATTAAAAACTATTTAAAATTTTATTTTTGGTATTAAATGACGGGTGTTGCATAAATATTAAACAAGATCCCGCAACTGATGCCAAAACAAACAAGAATGTTAGTTCGAAGAATTATTATGTAAATCGATTGATGATTAGACGAGATCAAGACAAAGTTATTTTACGATGCCTTGAGCTTTGTCAACAATTCATGGTCGACATGTATGTAAATACAAAAAATCATGAGTGGCTGGCAGAAAGAGCAATTTTAGCAGCAAAAAATGTGGACGTCAACGAATTGAATCTCAATATGTAACATTTGTTACCACGAGACTTTGTATCATACAAATCTATTGATACAGTTTGTGATGATACTGAAACTGTAAATTATCCAATAGAGTTTCTAAACTCATTGAATTTACGAGGCATGCCACCGCATAATTTTTTTACACGCAATGTTTTTTACTAATATTGTCATAATTAGTGATATATATAATTTTAAAGGATCAATTTTAATAAATTATTAAAAAAATAAATGTTTAATGTTTTTCCATTTATATATTCCGCACCGTTTACAGCATTCCATACCTCTTCTATTTATATACCACATCCTTACATACTTATATTAAATTAGTTATTTTTTTCTAGCAAAATATTCTCTAGAAATAATTTATATGGCAAAACAACGTTTGTCGGGTCAGCTAATATATAAATATATACCTTTATATATTAGCTTTCACTTGAAATTTTACATTAAGTGCATGTAGTAGGAACTCCACTGAAATCACCGTGCGGGGTGAAGTCGCGATGCTTAGTCAAATGATAATAATTGAATCATTTTCCAATTACCGTTCTCCTGCATTTGCTGCCTGAAGTATTCTACCCTCGGGTTACGACACGGTGACAGCCACGCCTACTTAGGGGGACTTTGTAGAACACTTGTGACGGTGACGCCCACCTAATTAAGATTTTTTCCCAATCGTAATATAATTCAGATACGGGAAGGGGATTCAAATAGATTTTCGAAAATTCCAAATAAATACCACGTACTGATGTTCTACTGCATGGTGGCTTCGAGATTGTTCAAGAATCCGAGTACCGACGTTTACCGAGGGAATGTGTATGAATTATGGCCGACACATGTGTTCCATCGATGTCAAAAGTCAGTATTTTTTTTTTCTGCCAAAGGCGAAATGGCTTGCAATATTAAAACAAATAGTACGAGCCACGGGAATCACGTAGAGTACTATGGATATTTCAATATTGAATGAGTCTATGATACGAATGGCAAACATGGAATGGTCAACTATTCGGTTTGTAAGGGCCTGCGGTCAATTTTACGCGTGGGCGGGGGGAGTATAAAAGGAAATGGGAGGAAGGAACGACGGAAAAAAGGCAACCTTTGCCATAACTCCATAACGGCTCCCTGCAGTAGTTTTACTCATTGTATTGTTTTCCGGTGGGCACAAATAGACAAAACGAAAGCCAATATACTGTCTATTTCACATATTGATTCGTAAGAATAATGTATACATATTTCATTATTATGTCATCGCGTTATTCATGAACTATTCGCAAGTTGGTCGCACGACAGGAAACTCTTTAAGCGTCGTCGGGGGCAGGTACCTATCGTAATATTTACGGAAAATAAATCGTATCGTGACAACAGCCACTTAAAGATAATTATAATATCATAAACCATTTAAAAGCTATCGTCGATCGGCAGGCTATTGTATATTTCATTTAATCGGAAAGCTTTTTCTCATATAGTATTCGTAGGGACGTCAGGTCGATTGGGCGTGAAGTGATAATCAATCGATGAACGGAAAATACAATAACGTAGTCAAATATTGTTTAAGTGTGCATTTAAATACGTATGTCTTATTTATTCGGTTTTAATCGAAACCCAACGTGTTAAAACAAACGAAAAATAGTTTTCAGCGACTATCATTAGAGAAGAACCATTTGCCTTGTAATACATTTTGCATTGTTTCATTATATTATTTTGTGTTACAGAGCGCCGATATGGCTCATCGACGATTCACCGTGCTGTTAGTAGTGTTCGTTGTTCTGGTGTACGACAATCACGGTTACGTCGCACATCGACGAGTGAAGAATCAAAAACCAGGCATACGCAGTTACTCGGACGCAAATAAGAATAGCGATATCAATGTATGCGCTCTGGAGCAGAAGACCACTATTAACTTGTTTTGTTACTGCGACGATTCCGCGATACATACGGCTTCGTCGGCTGACTGTTGGGTGTTCAATGACGGTGAGCCCAGGGACTCGTCCATATGGCAGGAGTTCCGGTCTCAATCGAACATTACCAAACTGACGTTCAACGTCCGCGGTTCATCGGCGCAAACGCTGTCGTTTGTGCCAACCGAAGCCTTGGCCCAGCTGCCGGAACTGAGGACACTAGAGATCGTATATGCCGGAATTAGGACTATACACTCACACGCGTTCGCCAACCTGTCCCATTTACAAGATTTAGCCTTGGGCAGGAACAACATCCTGCGACTGTCTAGAGAGTCGATAGCATTCATGGAGGACGTGCGCGTCGTCACGCTAGGCGATAACGCCATCGACGGCATCAGCAATGACGTGTTCGCTAACCTACCCGCGCTCCGGAAGCTGTACATGAACAACAACAACATAAGTTACATAGCCGAGGGCGCTTTCGAGCAGTTGCGCAAACTCGAAGAGCTAGACGTGTCCGTAAATCGACTAACAGGGTCGTTGTCCAGGTACGTGTTTTTGGGACTGATATCTTTAAAAAGATTGGACATGCGAGCCAACCACATCGAACGAGTGGGCCCAGATGCTTTCGCCGAGTTAGTTAGCCTAGAGGAACTCGTGTTAGAAGACAACACCATAAGGACGATTGACGGTAGAGGATTTTCTGGATTGAATAATCTACAACGCCTTACGTTGGCGGAGAACAGACTAACCGTGCTCGACGATCGTATACTTCACCATCTCGAAAAACTCAGATTTATCGATATAAGATACAACAATTTGAAAACTCTGACTTTCAGTACCATAGAACCGTTATTGGACAGACTCCGCAACATATCGTTCTATTTTTATTTGGAAGGTCAGTGCAATTTTATTCCGTAACATATTACATTTAACAACAATATATTAGGATATTTTTTAGTTTAATACACAATCATAATAATATGTAATGGTTCTTAAAATACCGCAAATATTACGTCATTTGGGCAAATGTACGGGAGTATTACGGTCGATCAGATATTATTTTTAAATAAGCTATTACTCTATGAACGATTCGGTATAGATATATGAAATTTGATTAGATATATAATTTATGAATGATTTGCATAAATTGATGTAGAAATAACAGATAACTGTTAATATTTAAGAAACTATTGAAATTACCAAGTCAAATACAACTAGCTGAATACTTTGTATTAAATAATTTGCCTTTAATTCAGTATCTTATTCAGACTTTTACTAGAACTCCTAATCTTACTTTAATTTCGACTACCACTTGTGTTATGTAACTAATTTTTCATTGTTTAAAATTAGTTATTTCGATCCTATTTATGTATTTATTTGTTGCTCGGTAACCATAATTCGTAATGCATTTTTGTCATGATTTTTCGTCATAACATTTTTGTAACGATTTCCATCGGAAAGTCTCAGTAAAACATATTAACTTAACGTTGTAATATGTTTGTAAAAAAATCAGATTTTATTTAAAAATTAAAGTAGAAAATAATTTGGAATATACTTGTATAATAACATATAAAGTTGTTACTATATTGCAAATTACTATTTATTAAATCTTGAGTAAAAATGTTTCCTGATGATACATACTTGATAAAAGTACACACATCAATGCGATTGGTTGAGCGTTTAGAGTAATTTTATTATAATTATGAATAATATAAATTATATTTGATGTTGTTGCTGTGATAATTCATAAGCACAATATGAATATAGAACATAGAATCGGAAAAAATGTATGCAATAATTTACATACATGTTAAATAGGTAAATTGATAAATAAATATTTAAAGCTAATTTATTACACCATTCTATTATTAAAAAAGTAATATTCCTTCAAACGTTTTTATGAAACTATATATATTTAAATTATGGTTGAAGTTTTTTTTTTTTTTATTAAAACTAGATTTAATATAAAGATATGAGTAATAAAACAATAAACTGTTAACATTATGATTGTTTTTTTTATTTTTTTTTATTTAATTTGTTTTTATTAAAAAAAAAAAAAAAACATTACAGCAATTATGATTCTTAATCTGTAATATCAATATTATAGTTGGATTGTAATAACTCTCAACATAATGTTAAAAATTTAATATTAAAACAGAATTATTCAATATCATCAATTTAAAATATTATTAAAATATCTTATAAGTATATATTCTAAATTATGACAGATAAAAAAATATAATTTCAGAAAAAAGATGAGCAAGATAAATAAAAAAAGGTTCCCGATCAGCTTTTTTCTATTAGGCACTTATTTTATTCAATTCAGCACGGTACAAATATATATATATTATTATTTTGAACCAGAAAATAGAATTCAAATTATGTACTTAAAAATGATTTTGAAGGACCAGTAAAATGTAACAATTATAATGTTTTTTTTTTTTTAATTAATTTGATATACATATATTTAAATACTAAGCTAATTAGTAAAAATAATTGATTTTCAAATCTGCATAGATTCTTCTTATTTTTTTTCACTTTTTCTTGCTGAAATTAATTTCATTGTAGTTGAATAGTTGGCATAGAACCAAAATTAACAATCATAATAACTAGAATATTTTACCTTTTTTAAAGTCACCTTGTATATAATATATTAAATGCATTGTGATTAATTCCATCGTAAAAATACTGTATAATTGTATTACCAACATTTCAGTATGAAACCTTTTTAAAGTACCATCTGTATTGGTTTTACACCCAGTTGAGGAGATGTAATATAAAACTTTTACTGTCTGAAGAAATGTTTACAGAAAAAAAAATGTCTCGATAAAGTCAATACAGCGTACTTACTAGTTTCTCTTTTAATAACTTTATTTATAAACTTATTTTATTTATTTATTTATTTTTTTATTTGCTCCTATCTTTAAACATTACAACCAATAATCGGAAGTATCCGCATCGGCTCCCGTTTGTTCGTTTCGGCTCCCTCCTTTCATTTGATGGTGGCCGTGTCGTCTCCGATCCGATGCCAGTGGTATGGACGTATCGGCTCCCAATCAACAACATTTTCTTTCACATTTATAGGCTGAGGATTGGCTACGGCGAGAAGAATTTCTCTATATGCATGGTTAAAAATGTTGTTGGCGTTTAAAATAAAAAAATAATGTCCTTTTGAAAAAAAGAGTTTAATAGACTTAAAAAAATGTGTTGACTTCAATTTTTTTTTGAGTTTTAAAAATAATGTTAACTTAAGTAAGGTAAAAAATTAAAAAACTTATGGCTTAAACTTCAAGGAAACTTTTTTTTACGTATTCCGCTCTGGTAATTTGTTCTTCTTTAAATTGATCAATATATTTCTGAATAATACTACAAATCTTTTGCTGGTTGTTAGTTTTTTTCCTAATTTTCATGCTGTGGAGTTTTATTTACGTGTCAGCCTGTATCTGTTTCTAAATTTCCATGAAATTGAAAATGTTAAAGTGAGTAGACGTGAACTCAGTATTACATTTGAAATATTAGCCCAAATTTCCAGAGAAATAATAATTTTTAATTTCATATAACTATATATATGCGATTAAGTAGCTATCAAAAAATTCGTTATCGAAACCTGACGTAATACGGCTATTCAACGGATGGCAAGGAATAACGACCCGGAGTCGATACGGTATCATCCCCAATAATCATATTTGAATCACTAATTTTTTAATTTATTCAAATGTTATGCACTCCGAAAAGCATTAAAAATAATGTAGGCCTTAACTAGGAGAATTAAACTATAATAAACCGCTTCCGAATAAGGAATACATTCACAATATAACATCACCAGAAATAACTCTTCCATATGTAAATCAGATGACGTACACAACATAGTCAAACATATACTAGCCAAATGCCGCAGTTTCGAAGATTGAAGAAACAAGCACTACATACCACATATATTAGGAGAAGGCTTTTAACCAACCTCCAATCAACTATAAACATCATACATTTCTTAAAAGTAAAATAATTATATAATCTTATATAAGCACAAACTTAATTCAATTGTTAACTAATATAAACATGATATTAACTAATAACTAATGGTTTAGAAGCCATTGAGTAAATGAAAGTGCAATTGAGATGAATAAAAAAAAAAAAAATAATAATAATAATAATAATAATATAAATAGTATTTTTAACACAAAATATTTAAAATATATTGTATAAATATTATACAATTACTCGTACCTATATCTTTCATCAGTTTGTAACTAGGTTATTTTTAAAAATAACATTAAAGTATTTATTGAACTATTCGTTTTTGTAAAAACGTCAATTCAATGTTTAAATAAAAAAATAAAATATTTAGATAAATATGTTTCATTGAAGAAACGTCATTGGACTTCTTAATACAATATTATTTGGAATTAAAATATTTAAAAATGGTCATCATACATAATACATATAATGTGACACATTAATTTGATAAAGTATCGGAATAATTACACGTTACTCACTTCTAGAGTAATAATTTTTAAACAATTCGTAACGGAGTGAGAGACATAGGGAGTATGAGGGAAATGAGTATTTCTTTGGAAGTCTCGTCTCATTTGAATTCTGAATGATTCTCTAGGGTTTCCCAAAGCTTTATAAACATAAAGGAAAAAATATAAGAAGATTCGTTTGCGTGATATAATCTTTAAGGAAAACGATGTATATAAACTCAAATAAAAAAAGAAGGCAAAGGATTTTTTCTCTGTTCGTCGTGCAATATCTTTTTAAGAGATAACCGATTTGGCAGTGATCTTTTCGTTTATGTCTTTGTCCATTTCGTATTTTTTTCTTATACTGACGTGCACCGCTCGGGAATGTATGCGAGTGACAGCCGGCGTGCCTGTGCAACAAATGAACATACTGATTAGGCGACCTTTTCACTGACAAAAACCGGGTGATTGCACCCCCGTCGCCTTTTATCCTTATCCGCTATATCTTTTCACAGGACTTTCCGTTTTCATTTCCGCCATCATCTGCTTTTCTCTTCCTTGTTCATTCAATGTATCTTTTGAACCTTCGTCACGCTCTTGATCGCTTTTATTGTGTCCATTATTTGACCGAAAAAGTACTTTAATTTACATTTATAAACTTCTGTGACTCCAGATGTCCTTACACACCTGCATATGAATCAAATTTTGTCGGGAAGTGTAACATATAAGCTTTATTATTATCTAAGTGGATTGACTTAACGACTATTCGAGTGTTACGATGATTTTGGAAACCTATTTTTATATAGTTATATTTAGGGATTAATTAAGAAAAATTCGATTAAATACAGTACTAGATTCTCATACATTTAAATTTTAGAATAATTACTAGAAATATATACATTTGTTTTTGAAAACTTATATATCATTAAGAGATTGTATCCTACTTGTTCTTATATATAGTTGGTTTTTATATATAATTATTATTATAATATTATTATTGTGGAATTGATCTACTTGGAGAATAATTATTAATTAGTAATTCTTTATATATAAATGATAAATTGACGCAAAAAATATAAATTATAAAATGATTAGTAAGTAATAACTTAATATAAATTTTTATTCAAACTAAACATTTTTACAATATTTTATTGAAAATATAACTTTCAAATGTAGAAACCCACAAAGTATTAATTTAAGTGTACACCTCAACAATTTTTTTTATCTCTGGTTAATGAATTTTTATATGAATAATTTCTATACTTATGGTAAAACTAATTATAGTACGTAATCAATCATATAAAACAATTAGTTAATAATGTTTCATTGATGTACTGAAGTGGCTATTCGAAGAGTTACATCTTCCGCTAGTTTGGCTAGTTTAAAAGGGTCATATTGCTACTTAGATTGTACCCAAAACGTTTTAATAGTT